ATATATATATATATATATATATATATATATATATATGAACTCTGCGTCTGATGCAGATTTCTCCTGGCTTGTCCCTTTGGTTGGTATTTTATATCTTCTTTGATGGGAATAATGTCTAGGCCATTGCAGGTAATTCACCAAGAGTCTGCTTTGAAGTTTATTGATTCAACTAGAGAAGAATAATGTTGGGTGGGACCAGGTATGGCTAAAGGAAAATTATGAATTAATGGAATATTGTGCTTCATTCTGCTTTACAATGTCCCCTCTGGCCCTCAAGAACTCACATGTGACCTCCTGATGCCCTGGACTCCCTGCTGTCCTCAATCTTTGATTCATGGTATTGACTTTCCCTGGCTTCCAACAGAATGTGAACAAAGGAAAAGTATCTTAAAAAGGAAGATAATCAAAACAACCAGGAAAATTCTTCTGAAGGAAGTGTGTCCTTCTGAGCCACTCATTAATAGAAAAGATTCAAAGATTTATTTTTCAATAACAGTCTTGGGAGGAGGAGTTCAGGAACTTTGTTAAAGATTTCCCTTTGGCTTAAGATCTTGCAGGTTGATAAAAAAGAATTATTGTCTACAAATATAGCAGCTATAAGGCCTAAACAAGTGTTCATTAAATGTTAAATGATGATTATATTTGAACTTTTTAAAATTAACTCTTATCTTGCCTTTCTTTTCCTTCCAGCCCTTCATCATTAAAAAAGTAATTCTATCAATTCTTTTGGCTCTATGGATAATTTCTTTTATAGATATATATAAGAATGAGAATGAATGGGATTTGTTAAGGGCTATTATTTTCTATTTTGAATAAAGCACCCTGTACAGATGGACAAAGTAGTAAAATAATAAAACAAATGGTTGTAGAGCAGTCAATCTGGTTATTTTTGGTTTTAAAAATTGTGCTAAAGCAGATCTAGAATTTAGCAGCTTGGTGTTGATTTGTTATTACTTCAGGCCTGTAATTATTGACTATTCAACTAGATTGTAAATTATTTGAGGGTATAGACTCTATGCATTTATAGCTTATTTGCCTTAGCACTTAGCAAAATTCTAAGAGGGAAATTAGTAAAAAGGGAGAGTGAAGATTTTTATTAAGTATCTAATTTGTGATAAGCATCATGCTAGACACTTTCTAGAAATGATCTCCTTTAATCCTTTCAGCATCCCTGCTGCACCAATAGTGTTATTATATCCACTGTTACTTATAAGAAATCAATATCTCCAACACCTAGCACAGGGCTTGGTGCATATTGATTATTTAATACTTGTTGAAGAATGACTATGTGTCAGTCAGGTGTTCTTATTTGCAAGTGTTGGAAACTAATACTTGCTAATTTAAGCATGAGGGGAAATATTAAAGGATATCAGTTAGCACACAGAATCTTCCCCAGGACAGAGTAGAAAGCCAGGTTTGGAATTTTCACAGTGAGAAATGGTGTCCAGAATCACACCCCAAAACTAATCCTTTGAAGGCACACTGCCACCCCAGCTCGGCACACACACCAACACTTGTGTTTCTGGCACCAACAATGTGGGGCACCCAGTCTGTGGCTGGGCAACAGTACCACTGGAAATTAGATGGAGCTATTCTACCACTGCTACTCTGCTAAGATAGAATAGACTCTCCTTTTGTGTGTCATCAGCTCTGATGTCAGAGTCTGAAATAACATGTTGATTGGAAGAGCCTATAGATAAGTGTCCAACCAGGATGTGGTTGAGAGTGAAAGGGTCACTATTAAAAATTATACTACGATAACAAGTCTAAACCAGGACATATGGTCACCCTCTACTAATTCTGTGCCCCTAACTGCAAAGGAGGCTTGGAAAGCATATTTTCAGCTTCTATGATAAAAGGTGATCTTGGCCTCTAGTCAGTACTTTCAGTATAGGGAATTTCCCAAATGTCAGAAGAGGTTATAAGTCTGGATTGGACAAAGAGAAGGTCAAATGCCCACTACTGAGTAATCAGTTTAACAGTTAATGTTAAATAACTATCTTAGGTAATACAATTAATGAGGTCTTCCTCACTCTAAAACTTGCTGCCTTTTCATTATACCATGCTTTGTATACTGCAGCATGACATTTCTCAGATAAGGGGACATCAGAACCTCCTACACAGTATTGCAAACATACAGAGTACTAGGCCCCACGCTAACATATTGAGCCAAAATTTTGGGAAATGGTGCTCTGTCCAGAGTATGAAATTTTTAACGTCTTCCATGGGGGTGAAAGGGGAATCAATTTGAAAGATGATACTTGTGGAAATAAGGCTATGAGTATCTTTTAGATACTTACTAGTTTCCTGAACTCTTCCATTGTGCAAGGTAGATTTTTTTTAACATCTTTATTGGAGTATAATTGCTTTACACTGGTGTGTTAGTTTCTGCTTTATAATAAAGTGAATCAGCTATACATATACATATATCCCCATATCCCCTCCCTCTTGCGTCTCCCTCCCACCCTCCCTATCCCACCCCTCTAGGAGGTCACAAAGCACCAAGCTAATCTCCCTGTGCTATGCAGCTGCTTCCCACTAGCTACCTATTTCACGTTTGGTAATGTATATATGTCCATGCCACTCTCTCTAGCTTTGTCACAGCTTATCCTTCCCCCTCCCCATATCCTCAAGTCCATTCTCTAGTAGGTCTGTGTCTTTATTCCCATCTTGCCCCTAGGTTCTTCATGACCACTTTTTGTTCTTAGATTCCATATATATGTGTTAGCATACGGTATCTGTTTTTCTGTTTCTGCCTTACTTCACTCTGTATGGCAGACTCTAGGTCCATCCACCTCACTACAAATAACTCAATTTTGTTTTTTTTTTATGGCTGAGTAATATTCCATTGTATATATGTGCCACATCTTCTTTATCCATTCATCGGTCGGTGGACGCTTAGGTTGCTTCCATGTCCTGGCTATTGTAAATAGAGCTGCAATGAACATTGTGGTACATGATTCTTCTTGAACTATGGTTTTCTCAGGGTATATGCCCAGTAGTGGGATTGCTGGGTCATATGGTATGCAAGGTAGATTTGATTAGATGCATTCCATAGATTTATGGGAGCTAGAAGAAAGCCTGCTTAATGTGGAAATAAGCTATAGGATAGAATTCTAACTTTTAAATTGGTGGTACTTAATTTCCTTTATTATTGTCATTAATTGGCAATTTCCAGGAGTCTCTCAGGCACTTAGAAAAGTCCCTGATACTACACATGAGCAGGTTGAGAAATAGAGGATTCCAGATAACATATGTTTCCCTTTCTTTTGATGACAGTGAACGCTCAGGACAATGAAGATCACGTTCCACTCCACTTCTGTTCTCGCTTTGGACACCACGATATAGTGAAGTACCTGCTCCAGAGCAATTTAGAAGTTCAGCCACATGTTGTTAATATCTATGGAGACACCCCTTTGCACCTGTGAGTATTATGTATACTTCCATAGGTACTCCAGGTATACTACGTGCACCTTCTTACTAGTCTCAAAATATTTTCTTAACTCTAGGGCATGCTACAATGGCAAATTTGAAGTTGCCAAGGAAATCATCCAAATATCAGGAATAGAAAGTCTGACTAAAGAAAACATCTTCAGTGAAACGGCTTTTCACAGGTAAAAGAATACTTAAGTACAATAGCCTCTAAACTTAGCTAACACCCTACAACACCAGAAGTCATGTACCTGGAGCAAGAATGAATAGTGGCAGATGTTGCAATCAGAGAGCAAGACCAGAGGGTGGCCAGAGGACAAGGAGCCCAAGCTAAATGCACAGAGAAAAGGTAGATGCAGATGCTGCAGTCAGTACAACAGATGGGACCAGAGCCAGATGCTGCCTTCCTGGCAGCAGCCACAAAGACAGGGACTGATGTTGCCAAGGCAACAGGCATATCAACATCTGTAAGCATATTGCTCCTATTCCACTTCACTCTGCAGAAAGCTGCCAAAAGGAGCAGTGCCCATAATCCTCTTCCGACAAGGATATCATTACCAGAATTCATCAGCATCAAATGTGACATTTTTTCCTTACCACTTAAACCTTATGTGCAAATGTATCTACCTATCTAAGACATCCATCTGTCAGCCTGTAAGAGCTTAGTCAGGGTGGCCACTGAGGTACCTAAGAAGGCATTAGCTCCTTGCTAGGAATCGATTACAGTCCTTTGCAATGTGCTCTGGAAAAGCACCCTGAAGGAGCAGCTGGGTTTGGAAAAGTTGTGACAAAGAAAAAAAGAAAGAGAGAGAGAGGGAGGGAAAAGTTTGCTAAGAACTCAAGCACATAACTCCCTAAAATGTCCTAAAGGAAAGCAGATGTTTTATAAAATTTAAAACCCTCATTTTTTAACAGTTTACTGTTTTGCTTATAAAAATAAAAACATAGTCATTTGAATTGAGTACACCTTGAATATAAGATTATTTACCTACATATTACAGATCTCTTGGCTAGTTAGCAACCTCTAAAACATGTATTTGAGACTAGTATGTTATTTATGTAGTGTTTGTCCTGTACTAGTGAATAAGAGAAATGAGACACTTTTTTTTTTAATACTGAACTAAAATTAAGCTTACACTTCTGCATCAGGCATCAACTTGTCAAATTTCAGTTGGATTTCCAGATTTTTCTTATCACCCAAAGAGGTCAGCCAAAAGGGAGGTGAAGACAACTACCATTTATGGAACAGTGAATATGTGCTGGATGATTTGCATCCATTATCTCATTTAATCCTCCTAACCATTTTATGAAGTTGGATTTACTATCCCTTTTTTACCAATGAGAAAATTGAGGCTCAAGAAAACTAAGTAACTTGCCAAAGATTCTTATGGCTAGAAAAACATGTATTAAATGCCTGACTAATTCCATATCCTGTGTTTTTATATATCTTCATGTTCTAGTACCAAAATATTTTGTCTGTTTTCTACACACTCTGTAACAGAACAGATGCAAGAACTCTTCAGATCATGCCTTCAAAGTGTACCAGTGGAATTTGTCCCTGAAGGGGACAGTTGGCAGAACTGATATGTATGGATTACTAGTGTCCTCTACCCATTAGGTCATTCTTGTGGAGGCTGACACCACAGGCTAGTTTTCAAATCATTTTGCTACTTTGTGCACATAAATTGAAACCGACTATAATCAGAGGGTTATTGTCACCTTCAGAAGATTCTCTATATGACAAGATTATGAAGTGAGTTAAAAGTATGTATCCAATTGTTTTATTTTGTGCAAACCTGTGGCTGCTAGGAATAACATATTAATATTTTCATTCTATTCATTTTAAGTACATATGTATAAAAGAAATTCTCCTTTTACATAAGGAACTGACTACAGTTATGAATTTTTCTATGTACAAATAGTGCTTTACACATAGTCAGCACTTAGTACATTCCTGTTATTGTTTTCATATGTCTGTATGTATATACATTTGTATACAAACGTACACACACACACACACACACACACACACACACACACATATATGTTCAGAATTCGTCATTTCCTATAAATAGTTGCTTTGAACAGAAACAATGAGGTAATTCAGACAACGGAACATTAAAAGTATAGTGCTGGGCTTCCCTCGTGGCGCAGTGGTTGAGAGTCCGCCTGCCGATGCAGGGGACTCGGGTTCGTGCCCCGGTCCGGGAAGATCCCACATGATGCGGAGCGGCTGGGCCCGGGAGCCATGGCCGCTGAGCCTGTGCGTCCGGAGCCTGTGCTCCGCAACAAGAAATTCTCTCTCTTTATGTCTTAAACTATAGCCTGAACAGTAAAAAAAAAAAAAAAAAAAAAAAAAAAGTATAGTGTTAATGGTCCTATTTATAATACAAATAACTAATGGTGATATGATCTATTACACTGAGATGGTTGTTTTTTATTCACTTAATTATTCAAGAAAGGCTTGTTAAGGACCTGCCTTGTGTTGTTGCTGGTAGGATCATTAACATGACACAGTCCCTTCCCTCCTTAAGGGAACTCTACTGTAGGGTATCAAAACACACAGAGGTGTATTCATTACCATAACACAATATGATAAGTGCCATAAAACTGAAATTACAAGGAAGCAGAGGAGATAGCAATGAACTCAGCCTTTGGTTCATGAGAAGACTTCATAGAGGAAGCAATAGTTCAACTAGATAAATAATGGCATTTATTTAAAGAAAATAATATCCCATGAGAGAAAAAGGATTTAGGCAAAGTCATCCCAGGGAGAGGAAAGAGTAAGACCCAGTGAACTACCACTTCTAGAACAAATCTGGAAGGAAAAAACACTGTTTTTCTGTACTCTACCTCAACACTCAATACCTCACTTCTGAAACACATGATACCAGTTTTGTGTGAGATTTTTCTACAACAAAAAATTCTCCAGTTCTCTACAGACACCGAGTGGGTGTCCTAAAATTCATTTCAGTTTGGCACAGCCTACCTGGAATTAACATCAGATCTCATAAGACTGCCCCTCTTCCCACTTCAGGTGCAATCACAAGTCTAACTTTTCACCTAAATCTCTCAGAACTTTCCTGTGTTCCCCCATTCCATTCAGTTGCCCTGCAGAATGCCTAGAAAAGAATTAATATCATAGGAAATATTTAATAAGAAAATGCTAGAAATTTTATACAGCTCCTTTCTTTTTTTTTTTTTTTGCGGTACACGGGCCTCTCACTGTTGTGGCCTTTCCCATTGCCGGAGCACAGGCTCCGGACACGCAGGCTCAGCGGTCATGGCTCACAGGCCTAGGAACGAACCCGTGTCCCCTGCATCGGCAGGCGAACTCTCCACCACTGTGCCACCAGGGAAACCCACAGCTCCTTTCTTGAAGGGACATATTTGAGAATCTTAGGATTTTATTGCTTTATGTGCTTTTATTTTCTTATCACTTCCTTCTCCTCTCTCTTTCTCTCCTTCTCTCATCTGTCTTTTTGGCACTTATATAAACATCAGCATCTAGAATAGCCTGGATGAATCAGGGCTGTTTTAATTTTTTAGGGCTACCATAACTAAATACCACAGACTGGGTGGCTTGAACACCAGAAATTTATTTTCTCACAATTCTAGAGGCTGGAAGTCCAAGATCAAGGTGTCAGGTTTGGTTTCTTCTGAGGCCTTTCTCTTTGTATTGCAGATGGCCACCTTCTTTTTGTGTCTTTACATGGTTGTCCCTCTGTTCATGTCATCTGTATACTAATCTTCCCTTCTTATAAGGACACCAGTCATATTTGGAGAGGGCCCATCCTAATTATTCCATTTCCACTTAATTACCTCTGTATATTATACCTCTTTAAATTATAGTCACATTATAACGTTATGGGAGTTAGGGCTTCAACATATTAATTTGGAGTACATACATTCAGCCTTCTATTTTCCCTGTGTTATATTTTTGCAGTGCTTGTACCTATGGCAAGAGCATTGACCTGGTTAAATTTCTTCTTGATCAGAATATCATAAGCATCAACCACCAAGGAAGGGATGGGCACACAGGTAAGACTGTGGTGAGAACATCACCAGTTTCTGATGCATGTGAATACTCAAGAAAAGTGGTGGGCTCGGGGTGCGGGGGCGGGCATGGGAGTGGTCAACCCCAACGAGGGGGAATATTTTATCAATGACATCATTTAAATTGATGGTGCATGGTGATAGTAAAAAGCAGACTGACTTTGGTCAGTTTCATTATTGTGCTAAAGTATCTACAGTCAATGCACCCATTATGATCTGCACCAGGAACAGAATGATCCCACTGCCTTGCCCTTGGCTTGCTGCTGAAAAAAAAACCCTTGTTTGGGATCTTTGTTCTTTGATTTGTACAAAGTTGCTAACATTTATTCTGGTAATTACTGTGGATATAGAAATACTAGAAATTGTGCTAAGCAAAAGGTAGTCTATATAGATCAACTAGGTACTTCTTTTCCTAAACTGTGTCTTGTTTGCTCAAAGACAGAATTAATTCTTTGTCAAAGAAATCAACCCTTGCTGTATATCTCTGGCAACAATTCTATTATGTGGTAATGACTGTCTTTTGAAAATTGGGTTTCAGTTTTCCCCTTTTCTCCTTTCACACTTTCATTCTTATTCTATTATAGGATTGCACTCTGCTTGCTACCATGGTCACATTCACCTGGTTCAGTTCTTACTGGATAACGGAGCTGATATGAATCTGGTAGCTTGTGATCCAAGCAGGTCTAGTGGTGAAAAAGATGAGCAGACATGTTTAATGTGGGCTTATGAAAAAGGTATATTTTTCACCATTGCATCTCTATAGTGATAACATTGAACTCTGTGCACAGATTATGCCAGTGCATCAATAATTCTTTTGCCTACATGACTTGTATACTCCCATTTCCTCTGGAGATTGTGTTTGAATCGTTGGTTGATCAAAGAGTACAATAGGGAAAGCAACTCCCGGGCTGCAGATGAGCTGAAGGCATTCTTGGTATTGGCATTTTGAAGGGAGAAGGAGATATCACATTTCTAGATACTGGAGAAACAAAATTGTGATAGGTAATGATAGCTACTTTCTTAGAGTAGATGCAGAACTAGTCTTTACCTCTTATATAGGAAAAATTTGATGTGGATTCAAATTATTAAAAATGAAATTACTGCAAAGAAAGAAAGGGAGTATTTGTCACATCTAACCCTGCTAACAATGCCTGCACTAGAAAAAGTAAGGCAACCAATGTTTAGTGCTTAAGTATAAACTTATTTGAGCTCAAAGAGGTGAAAGCTTGGGCAGAACACCTGGTTTTAAATCAAACCATGTTGCTTGATCTTGGGCAAGTTATTTATTCTTGCTGAGCTTTAGTTTTTCATCTGAAAAATGAGGACAATAACAACTTCATAAGATTGTAAAGATTAAATTAGATAATATGTGCAAATTGCTTATAAATGTGGCTGGCACAAAATAAATACCTAATAATTGGCATTTCAGTAATAATAACAGTGGTAATAGTAGTAGTCCAGAAATAAAGATTATTAATAGTGAATTTTTCATTTTAAAGGAGAGGAAACTAGACACAATTAGAAGGTCAAATAGCATCTTTGTCATTGTTATTACAATATACTGTACCTCTTAAGGGAGCTCTACATAAATGCATAAACTCCAACAGAGTGTAAATTTTCAGGTGACATGGAACAGTACTGAAATCAGAGTTACAACTAAATACTGTAAAATATATCAGACTTTGTTGCCTGCATTGTCTTATTAGGATGTTTAAAGTATGTAAAGAAGTATTCTTATCTTTTTAAATGTTAGAATCTTAGAAAACCATACTTAAAAAGAGTAATTACTAAACTGGAAGATTTCTTAGGCTACCAAGATGATCTAAAAGGTTTTCTGCCTTGAAATGGGACATGGAAGTTCATTAATGAACAGAGAGATGAAGTTTGATGGATAGAAATAGAGAGCTATTGTAAGCATATAGACAAGGAGAAAGAAAAACATATAGGTCTGAAGACTGCTATTGAGGAAATGATATAGGAGTTACTTTACTAGAGACAAGTGAACAGACATGGAACAGCAAGGAATGAGTTAAGATATAGGCCTGTTATGTTTTTTACTTTTTACTTGAGTATTGTATAAACACATACACGCATGCACACACGCGTACTTGCACATTATAGCTCAATGAATTTTCACAAACTGAACTCACTCAGCGTCCAGATGCAGAAACTGAACATGGTCAGCACCCAGAAGCCCTACTTACATTGTCTTCCACTCACTCCCCAAAGAGGGTACCACTGCCTTTTCGAGGCATAGACTAGCTTTACCTTTTTCTGTACTTAATATAAGTGAAATGCTATGCTATATACATCTTTATGTCTGACCTCTTTTGACCAACAGTTTGTGAGATTCATCCATATTGTTGCAGGTATCTCTAGACTGTTCATTCTTGTATGGTATTATGTTTTTAATTATATCACAATTCATTCATTCTGCTTTTTCAGGGCATTTGGATAATTTTCAATTGGGGACTATTAGGAACACTGTTGTTATACGTGTACATGTCACGTACGTGTCTTTTGATGAATAACTATATACATTTCTGTTAGGTATAACTGCCTTCTACTTTGTGTAAAAGAAAGTCCAGGTAATTATATATTTGCATATCAGTTGGAAAATCTTACATATTCTGAAGCCTCGAGAGGCCTTACTAAGTTCTAGTTATGTTGAATTTATTCCAATGATTCTCAGACAGTGTCTCTCAGTAAATTTGAGTTTCAGAGAAAGACTGTTTACAAATCATTAGTCTTCCGGAAGACAGCTCAGAAGTAGTTGCTGCAGCTTATCTCTTCACAGGGTTTGGCTTTGTTTGTTTTTACTTGATTGAGAGTAATGGTTGAAAACTGGCTTTACTTTTATTGTTTGTGGAATTCCACACTTTATAAAACAGTGAATCATTGTGTAAGCTCCTAAGATTTCCTACTAAACGACAACAATAAAAATCCTTTAGCTTAGAGGACTTACCCACTGGTCTCTGCAATATATGCCATACTTGTCACCCTTATTTGTTCAACTAATGTGCCAGGCATCAGTGTTGCATTTCATTATTACTATGAATTCTAACAAATTGAATGTTACTACTCAGGAGACAGATGGATGTTTTGCATATGTTCTAGGGCAGAGCAAGTTAAACCAACAAAATAAATTTGTTGCTATTTTCTCATGCTAGAGAAACGTTGCGTTGTTTTCGTGTGTTCAGGGAAGATTGAAATGGCCTTGTTAAAATATTGTCAGCAGTGCACTGTCCCTGTTTTCTTTGGCTTTGCTTTCTCTTTCAGAGAGGGAGTCACCAAATTAATTGATATGGCGTACCAAGGATTTTCTTGAGCAACTTGGATATGGAGTTGAAAAAGCACTAAAACTTCACTTGGAGTTCTTTCTTTGTGGAATAGAGATGATGTAAAACTGGCCCCATCATGGCTTGCCCTGCACCCTATCCAGTCCTTAGAAAACTCAGAAGAGACTTCATAACCAGGGTCTGTCTATTTAAAAAGGAATACTTTTGAATGTGCCCAGTTTGAATAGTTCATCTTAGTCTACCCTCTTAAGATAGGACTAGGAGGCTTTTTCAACAGCACTCATCTCTGAATGGTTAGAAGGCAAATTTTTCATCTGTCCCAAACAAAATTTTTAGCTGACCCTCTCTGCTATTCTATTATAGCACATTCAGAGGTGCTTTGGAGTTCTGAAAAGAATTATCTACTATCTTTTGGAATATTTTTAGAAAAGAGTTTACTCACTATGGCTCCCTGTGGGATCAGGTATGAAAAATATTTTCCATTTACATAGCCCTTTTAACCTAAAAATATCAAAATCAATCTTAGAAATAATTTTCCTGGTGACCTTGGTTCTAACCAGTAACCAGAAGCCTACTGGTTTAAGTTTCAATATTTCACTGCCAGATTGCTCAGAGCTCCAATTTTATAATACTTAGAATGTTTCCTCTCCCCAGTCTGTCCTCCCTCTTCTTTTCTACTGTTCCATCTGAGAGTAGCCATAGCTGTCTCACTCACTTGGATTTGTTCTGCTCTTTCC